TCCCAAGTCACTGCAGCTCTGGAGGCAGCCCAAATACCCTCGCAAGAGCACCCCCAGGAGAAGCAAGCTTGACCACTATGCCATCATCAAGTTCCCCCTGACCTCAGAGTCAGCTGTGAAAAAGATCGAGGACAACAACACACTTGTGTTCATTGTGGATGTCAAATTCAATAAGCACCAAATCAAACAAGCAATAAAGAAGCTCTATGACATCAATGCTGCCAAGGTCAATACGCTAATCAGGCCTGATGGAGAGAAGGCAGCATATGTTCGACTGGATCCCAATTATGATGCATTGGATGTTGCCAATAAAATTGGGATCATCTAAACTGAGTCCAGCTGGCTAATTCTAAATACATATATTTTCCCCATTTAAAAAAAAAAAAATATGGCGTATCTTTAGATATCTCCTGATGAGCAAAGCAGGGATCCTACAATAGTATTGCCTTCCAAATCCCCCCATGGTGTAGACTTTGACCAGGGAGCCACCACCAGAGCAGGGCCATTGCCTACATGACAATACCCACAGTGGTGCAAATGTAAATAAGCTACCAGTTCATTTTCCTTGTATGCACCACCCTTTCTCAATGTTGGACTTGTTTAAATGCAATAGTAATAATCTACCCTACAGATAACAATAAGAATCTCCCAGTGACTGAATCTTTTACCTCTGTGTGCAGGGGACCACCCTAGTGGGGAGATCTACAGATTCTCGTGAATATACTGTTAACATGAGATGAGGTGAAGGGTGATTAATAAGGCTGGAGAGGAGGTGCATCTGCTCCACCTGGCAGACCCAAAGGGAGGTAGCCCTGGCTGCTAACAGAGCCATCCAGAGAGCAGATCCAGAAGGCTCCTTCGGAACACTGTCAGAGATCCTCCTACTGGGCCTAAGGAAGGGGCACCCAGACAAGTGTCTAATTAGATTTCGGGATTATGACATTCCTGAAGAGGCCATACTGGGCATACAGGAGGTATACAATGTTGACTTTAAGGAACAGAAAACCTAAGAATGGTAAAGATAACATTTAAAAGCAAAGTGCCCCAGACATTAAAGGGAAAGCTGTAAAGGACTGAGGGAGCTTTGCAGGAGAACCCATCCCAGTTGTTGGATACTGCATCTAATGTGCTTAACAAACAGAACTGCAGGAGGAGGAGGAGGATGCAAAGAAAGGCAATGTTGCTTTGTTGGCCAATGCATTAGACTCTCAGGAAAAAAAACAATCCCTCAAAGAAACTAAGGCTCCTCTGGACAAGGACCAACGTGCCTACAAGGATGAGTAAGAAGGAAGAACATCTGAAGAAAGACTATCCTAAGTTGAAGAAGGCACAAATAGCCAACAAAGGAGAGAAGGGTTCAGGGCCTGCTGACAATGGAAAACGACTATTCAGATACAGAACGAAAGGGCTACAGGCTTCCTTGTATTAAGATACCTGATAGACACTTCCCTGAAGGAGTCCCAAGCACAACTGACTGCAAGGAACAAATTAATAAACTTTCTGGTGGACTCAGGCACTGCTTCTTATTGAATAACACACCTTAATTCTTTGTTCATTCCCTTTCCCTCCCTTTTCTTCCTGCTCCAGCTCTTGTCCCCTTTCCCATCTCCAAAAGCTCTATTTGCATTTATTTCTTTTTTGGTTTTTTTGTTGCTGTTGTTTGGTTTTTTGTGTGTGTGCAGAACTGTTGAGATTGAACTCAGGCCCTTGCACTTGCCGGCAACCACTTATTCTACTGAGCTATCTCCCTGGCCCTTATTTGCATTAATTTCTTCATTTCTTTTTTTTACTGTTTTCTGCTTCCTTCTCCCTTCCATCTCATTGCCCTTCCCATTTGAAAGAGCTCTACTTCCTGATATCCTAATACAAAGGACGCTGACGTTAAGAGGCTGAACCCCAAAACTGCAAGGTACAAGCGGCAGTTTATGCACAAGCGAACTGAATTATATAACTAGCACAAAAGTAGGGACGTATCTGTTCTACATTTGTCAGACGGTTTGTCATCAGGTCCTCCCGTATTTGCAACTCCACCTCAAGCAGGGGTCTTCCCCCACGGCCCCTCCTCC